CTTTGTGCCGCCACCGAGTATTGCAGCCCAACGGTCGGTGTTTGGCCAAGATACTTGGCCACCCTCATTCCAGCTGCTCCTCATTAGGGCATTGCACAACCCTAGCTAGGTAGCAAAGGCCACGTCCGGCCGAGTGTTTACCGCAGCATATATAAGGCTGCCCACCAACGAGTGAAAACGGCGCCTCTCCTCTTCACCAACGCTCTCTTCATCTGGTCCCTTCACACACTTGAACCCAGAGGGAAAGGGTGTAGCCACATGACCTTCACTCTACCCAAAGTTGGCAGCTAACGCCTCCAGGTACTTGCGTTGGTGCACCCGCATGCACCGCTTTTCCACGGCGCGTTCGATGTGGAGCCCGAGGTAGAAGTTTACATCGCCAAGTGCCTTGCAATTGAACTTGTCCTGAAGCTTCAGCATCACCTCCTTCACAAGGTCAGAGGCGGGTGAGAAGATGAGAATGTCATCCAAGTACACCACCATGAACCTCCTCTGCCCCCCCTCGCCAAGCATGAACAAGGAGTGATCGGCCGATGAGGGAGTGAAGCTGATCTCCTCCAACACTTCGCGCAGCTTTAAGTACCACTGCCTAGGGGCCTGCTTCAGCCCATAGAGGGCCTTCTTCAGCTTCCACACTCTGCCACTACCATCATCAAACCCCTCCGGCTGCGCCATGAAGATCTCTCCCTCAAGGATTCTATTGAGGAACGCCGTTGTGATATCCATCTGCTTCACCACCCATCCTTTGATGGCAGCTCCCGCGAGTAGGGTCCGCAGCATTGTAGGCTTCACCACAGGAGAAAACAACTCCATGAAGTCCACTTTCTCCTTCTGCTGGTACCCCTTAGCCACAAGCCTCGACTTGTAGCGCTCGATCTTTCCGTCAGCGCCGGACTTAATCTTGAAGAGCCACTTGGACGTTATCGCCATACACCCCTCCGGTAGCTCCACCAAGTCAAAGGAGGCGTTCTCCTCAATACTCTTCAGCTCACTCTCCATTCCTTTCTTCCACTCCTTAGCATCACTGCTCTCCAAGGCCTCCTTGAGAGTTGCTGGTTCTCCCGCCATCTCCACAGGAGAGAAGAACACGAACGCATACTCCTCGTAGTCACTCTCCTCATCATCTCCGACTATCGTTGCCGCTCCAGCTAGGGCTGTCTTGCCCTGCTTTCCCAGCGCATCATACTTCAGCCTATTAGGGGCTTGGACTCTCCTCTTGCCCCTTCCTTCCTCCTTAGCTGCAGGGACTTGAAGGCCTTGGCTTTGCTGCGGTGTGTTTCGGATCCGTGGAGCGATCGTAGTGCGTGAAGGAAGTGTCGGTTCAAGCTCGCTCACTTGCTGCACTTCCTCCTCTTCTTCCTCTGCATCCTTGGCCTCCTCTTCACCATTAACAAGGGAAGATTGCCTTGTGGTGGTGCTGCCGCTGCTCAGCTCCAAAGGCAGCTCCACATGCTCCAAACCGGAACTCTTCACCTCCCCAAACCGCACACCTATCTTCACCTCGTTCTCCGCCTTCCAATCCTTGTACTCGAGATTCTCCATGAACTTGCAGTCCCTGCTCACCAAGAATTTCTTGATGAATGGGTCCCAAAGAAGCCACCCCTTGCTGTTTTGAGCCATGCCCAAGTGCACGGCCCATATCGCCTTGGCACCAGGCTTGTTGTGCCGAAGATGCTTAGGTACAAGCGCCATGCACATGCACCCGAACACCCGAAGCATATCCACCTTTGGCTTCCTTCCAGGCCACTCCACATAGGGCACCCATTTGTCCACTCACACATGAGTCAAGGCTCTGTTCTTGGCCACACACACACTCCGCACCGCATCAGGCCAGAAATAGTCGGGTTGTCCGGCTTCTATGAGCAACCCGCGCGCCGTCTCTGTGATTGTGCGGTTCGCTCGCTCAGCGATGCCGTTCATTGCAGGGGTGTATGGCATGGTAAGGGAGTGCCTTATGCCATTCTTCTTCATCCATATTGAGAACTCGTTGCTCAGGAACTCTCCCCCACGATCGGTGCGGATCGACTTCACAAGCCGGTCTTGTTGCCGCTCCACCATTGGTAGCCAATCGGTCTTCACCGTTTCAGTTACGTCGCTCTTCTTGGACAGCACTTACACCCAGGTCATGCGGGTGTAGACATCCACAATGGTGAGGAAATATTCATCTCCAGCCGCTCCAAGCTTCAGGGGGCCCACCACGTCCATCACCACCTCATCAAGTGGTGCCTTTGCCGTTGCCCACGAACTCGGGAACGGAAACCGGGTGAACTTGGCTTGAATGCACGTTGGGCAGCCAAGCTCCTCATCGGGCTCCCCCTTCACACGTATGCCAGCAACCATCTCATTCTTCACTAGCTGCTGCAAGATGGGCAGGGCCACATGCCCCATTCGCCGATGCAAGGTGAGCCAATCGCGCTCGCAATAGCGCCCCACATGCTCTCTCCGTACTCCTCCGCTGCTGCCTCGGGGTTCTCCTCACCCTTGTGCTGTTCCTTGGCTGCTGCACCACTCTCCTTAGGATCACAAGGCTTGCTGGTACCTCCAGGTTTGCTCTTCTTGAGCTCGTTCTCCATGGCACGATGGTTCTTGCCATAGCCGCTACCAACCGCTTCGTCCTTGGCGCTGCTGATGCTTGCTGCCACTTGCCTCTCCTTGGGCATGGGGACTACAGGGATCTGCCACATCTTTTTGTAGACATCCCTATCTTCGTGAAGGTCCCATAGAATCCGCTCGCCAATCCTCGCGGTGTAGGTCTTGGCTCCCTTCGAGTTCGAGTCCATGCCGACCTTTGCCAATCGCCGCACGGAAATCAGGTTCGCAGCAAGGCTGGGCACCCAAAGCATATTCTTGAGGCCCACCATCTTCCCATCAGCACCCTTGAACATGGCCTTGCCCATGCCTTTCACCTCTGCTCACTGCCCCGAAGCCGATGTGACATGCTTCACCGGTGACGGTTCAAGTTCGGTGAGCAAGTCCGCGTTAGGTGGTATAGGTAGCGCCGCTATCGATCACCAAATAGTCCAGGGGGTGTAGGGTGACCTTTCCCACAGCTGCAAGTTCTTCGAAGTCTTCATCCTTCTCTGGTGCAGCCGGTGCTTGCGTTGACACAAAGTAGAATTGACCCGGGTACCGATCATCGCTCCAGTCCTTGTCATTATCTCCGCTCTTCGTGTTTGCAGCACCGCCTCCGCGACCGCCACATTCTCCACGGCCTCTTCCTCTCCATCCTCCAGGTCCTCTACCCTCTGTCTTGAGCAGGGGTCCAGCCATCAGGGAGCTTGTAGCAATCGCGCCACATATGTCCGCTCTTGTGGAAATCATGGCATTCGCCATCGAATTGGCCGCGACCGTGTCTGTGGCTCTTGTCGTCACTGCCGTATCCGCCATTCCCGCGGCCTCCATTGAAGTTTTTGCTGCCAAATCTGCCTCCCCCTTGTCCTCTGCCTCTTCCACGACCGTACCCCCGGCCGATGCTTGCTGCCCCGGCGCCATCCGCACTCGCCAACTCACGGCGGCGGAAATCCTCTTGGAGGATTGCTCGCTTCACATCTTCGAGCGAGAGGCGGGGCAGATCTCTGTTGAGGTTGATGATGAGCATGGACCATGACTCTGGGAGTAAGGCCAGCAAATTGGTCTTCTTCTGGAGCTCACTGTAGTTCAAATCAGCTCCCTAAAGCCGCATCAACAAATCGAAGGATTTCTGCACCCCTTCTTCAACCACTTCATCCTCGTCAATTCGTAGTGTCACCATTTGCCGTTCCAACACCACCGCTACCGCCGCTGCTGCAGGAGCATGTACACCCTTGAAAGCAGCCCATGCCTTTGGTCCCTTCTCTGGTTCACGCTGGAATGGCTTGATGTGACGGATTTGGCTGCTCCCCAATGCTTGCTCAAGTAAGAGGTAGCCTTGTACAAACCCCAAGAGCCGAGGTACAGTGATGTAGAACAGTGCCACACTGTCCCCAAACAGGAAGGGTCTCGAAACTACCCACCACAAGGGCCTACACCAACTGAAATGTTACACTACATAAAGTAATGTAACTATATGCATTATCTTGAGGTGTATCCTTTTGCGGGCTTCGAGATCACTTGAGTCTTGACACCAAGGCTCGGGCTCTTCATCACAAACTCGTCCTTGAGTTCTTGATGGGTCAGCTGCACACACCTGCGATACGCTGAACGTTCGACACACGACAAAATAGAAACCGCGCACGGGACACACGACAAAACAGAAAACGCGCGCGAGACAAAAATGGCCATGTAACACGCGACTAGCGATAACACGCTATTGATTCGACACACACACTTGAGATAATGACTCATCATTCAAACACTATAATAAGCATGAAATATATATTATCTCATGCCCTCATACCATTCCATGCACACATGCATGCACGCACACGGACAACAAGCCGAGTGCAAACTGTAGGGTTGCACCAATAAAGAGGAACTCTCTAGCGGCGTATGGAGCGAGTGGGCTGTCACGGAGCATGGGCAGAAGTGCGTGGCGAAGGCACGAGTAGTTATTGGTGCTAATCGCGGCTCGTAGTGCATAGTCAGTTGCTGGTGAGCATACAGTTGCTGCTGCGCGCGCCTACTCGTGCGCGGCGGCATGCGTGAGGCTGCGCATGCTGGTGGCAGGACAGGGCGTAGGCCGTGACGGGGCAGGGCGCAGGTAAGGGCTGCAGTGGCGCGTGGTCCGTGGCGTTTACGACGGCTACAGCTGCTGCGCTCGCGGCGGCTGCGGGCGTGGCCGCGACTTCTGCTCGTGCGCATGCGTTGGCGAGCGCGCTTACAGTTGCCACTGTTGTGCGTGCTGCCTGCCCGCAGCTGACTGCGCGCGCGGCTATACCTTCTGCAGAGGCGTGCGCGCGGCAGAGCAGGGCCCGGAACGGGACGAAAAACAAGGGGGGGCAGCGCGTGGCGTCCTGTGCGCGCGCGCACGTGCATGTGGCTTACGGCACGTGCTATGGGGCGTTACGAGGCGTCATGGGGCATTACACGGCGTTACGGGACACGCCACGGCCTGGACTCATCACAAGCGAGTCGAGGTGCAGGACGGGGCGGGAGAGGCGCATTTTCTTAGGGTAGGATCGAGCGTACTGCTGATACCATCTGAGAAACTAAGAACTCTAGAAACGAAGGAGAATGATGGCATTGATAAATGTGGGGAGAAGGTACAAGAACAAATGTCGAGATAAGCCTATACCCTATATCATGCACCTCACTACTACCTAACAGACTTAACATACCTATATACATATATATAACTTGACAAGTCAGTATGAGGTGGCACGCCGCAAAGTGACGTGCCAAAGCTCCATGTGCCGGCATGGAATCCTCACGCGATTCTGATTTTGGACCCTCTAACATTTCGTTTCGTTTGAGATTGCAAGACTGAGACGTACAAATTGGTGCGTTTGAATTATATTTCCGTACTTGTCATTACATAAGCACATACGGTTACATTTTTTACTCAATTATATGCGCACCCCCTTGAAAAGACACATTTTATTATAATCGCATGTGCGCTTATCTCTGTCAAAGTTATTTTATGTAACTGCTTGTGGTTTAGGTGTAGTGTATTTATCTTGTCTTCTGTTTGGTGGTGCACCTCTAGTTTCTTGACTATATGTTGTATCTCTTTGCTATTATTCAACCCTTCTTATTTGGCCAAACCCTCTCGACCTTCCTTTCGCTATCTCCATGCTTCCTAGGTTCTAGAACTTTTCTGATATGCTATCAGAGCAAACTACGTTCCTGGCCTGTTGCTTCCGCTGCTACTCTGTGTACTGCACGCCCCGTGGCGTGCCCCTCGCGAGACCCTTAGTGGCCCCTCGCGGCCCCCTTCGCGGCCCCGTTGCCGCCCTTCCAGGCCCTTCGCGGCCCCTTCGCGGCCCCGTCGCCGCCCCTATCGGCCCCGTCGCCGACCTTTCAGGCCCCTCACGGCCCCCTTCGCGGCCCCGTCGCCGCCTTTACCGGCCCGTCGCCGCCCTTCCAGGCCCCTCGCGGCCCCTTCGCGGCCCCGTCGCCGCCCTTATCGGCCCCGTCGTCGCCTTCAGCGGCCCCGTCGCCGCCTTTTGCGGCCCCGTCGCCACCCCTACCGGCCCCGTCGCCGACCTTTCAGGCCCCTCACGGCCCCTTCGCGGCCCCGTCGCCGCCTCCAGCGGCCCCGTCGCCGCCCCTACCGGCCCCGTCGCCGACCTTTCAGGCCCCTCGCGGCCCCTTCGCGACCTTGTCGCCGCCCCTATCGGCCCCGTCGCCGCCCCTATCGGCCCCGCCGCCGCCTCCAGCGGCCCCGTCGCCCCCCCTATCGGCCCCGCCGCCGCCTCTAGCGGCCCCGTCGCCGCCCCTTGCGGCCCCGTCGCTGCCCCTTTCGGCCCTGCCCCGACCCTGTCGCGGCCCCGTCCCGGACCTGCCCTAACCCTGGCCCAGCCCCGACCCTGTCGCGGCCCCTCGGCGCGGCCTTGCCCCGACCCTGTCGCGGCCCCGTCCCGGACCTGCCCCGACCCCGGCCCTGCCCTGACCTTGTCGCGGCCCTATCGCGGCCCTCCCCCTGCTATGCACCGACCTTGCCTCGACCCTGCCCCGGCCCCGCCCCGGCCATGCTCCGTCGCCTGTCGCGGCGCACCGGGGGCACGTGCACCGCCCCCCCCCTCTTTTTCCCGTCGCCCGTTGCGGCTCCCTGGGGGGCTGCACGCGGCCCCCTCAGGTCGCCTCGACAGGCGACGGGAGGGGCGACCTGGGGGGGGGGGGCGAGCGTCGCCCCTTCTGCCGCTTGCTTTGGCGCCCTGGGAGGCCGCTGCTACGGTGGCGGGTGTGGGGGTGGCGGGTGTGTGGTCTCCCCTTCCCCTCCTCCTCCTTTCGTTCCCACTGCTGCAGCTGCCGCAGGGGGGGAGGGTGTGAGGGTGTGGGGGAGCCAGGGGAGTGGCATTGGGGTGGCGGGTGTGTGGTCTCCCCTTCCCATCCTCCTCCTTTCGCCCCCCTCTGCTGCTCCTGCAGCAGTGTGGGGGGGAGGGGGAGGGGGAGGGTGAGGGGATGGAGGGGGTGACCAACCAGAGCCTACCATCTGCTCTCTCTCCCTCTCTCTCTCCTCCTCCTTGCCTGCCCTCTCCCGTTCTGCTGCGCACTCTGCCTGGTGTACCCCTTCAGGGGGCGATAACTACACTTCTTCCCACAAGCAATTATGGGGGCGTGTCAAAGTTATTTTATGTAACTGCTTGTGGTTTAGGTGTAGTGTATTTATCTTGTCTTCTGTTTGGTGGTGCACCTCTAGTTTCTTGACTATATGTTGTATCTCTTTGCTATTATTCAACCCTTCTTGTTTGGCCAAACTCTCTCGACCTTCCTTTCGCTATCTCCATGCCTCCTAGGTTCTAGAACTTTTCTGATAATCTCCGAGTGATATGGTACATTTGTAAACAAATAGAGTAAATTGTTGGTGCAACCCTACGGTTTTGCACTCGACTTGTTGTCCGTGTGGAATGGTATGAGGGCATGGGATAATATATATTTCATGCTAATAATAGTGTGTGGATGTTGATTCGTGATGTTGAATGTGTGTGTATATGTGTGTGTGTGTCGAGTTAATAGCGAGTCATCGCTAGTCGCGTGTCTACGTCGTGGTTTGTGTGTCTCGCGCGGTTTCTATTTCGTCGTTTGTGTGTCCCGCATGGTTCTATTTTGTCGTCCATCGAACGTTCTACATGTCGCAGGTATATGCAGCAGAACCATCAAGAACTGAAGGATGACTATGCACTCTATCTTTTTTTATAGGCACATTCAAGCCTATTGTGACTATAACATAAATGGGAATACGAAACGACTTAGCTAGACATGTACTATAAGGAATACAATCCCTTATTACAGCGAACTCCAGCCATGCGGCTCAAGATGATCGAAAGCGTTCCCGCCAAATCCTCGCCACTGCAGCTGCCTGATGTTGTTTGCTCTTACAATTCAGATCCTTCGTAACTGTATGTGACCCTATGTGTCAATGTATCTTTTAGCCTTCGTACTCGTTACTGCGTGCTTGACTGACTGCTGCTAGGATTGCACAGTATTTTCACCGTTTACTATTCGTAACACACCAAGGCCAAGACGACTAGTGTGTCCATTTTGTCCTTTCGACTACCGTATGACGTTTTGTCATGATCGCATTTGTGCTTAGGTCCAAGGTATGATGGTATTCTTATAGCGTCAAACTGCTCAAAGGTAACATCTTAGAAGTGAATTTTTTTTGGGAAAGGCATGCTTCCCCGCCGACCTGTCACGGATGATCTCCGGCCCAAGGTACTTCTGCACCGGCGAAAACTCACGCAGCTCGAAGACGGACTCCAGCAACTCCTTCAGCTCCTTCAGCATCTCTGTGCTGCTGCTGGCGGCGAGCAGGTCGTCGACGTAGACCAACACCCAGCACGCTACTCCGTCGTTGCCAACCTTGAAGTACAGAGCCTCGTTGACCTTGCTCTTCTTCCACCCGGCGCCGACCAGCACGTCGTTGAGCGACAAGTACCACAGCAGCGGCGACTGCTTCAGGCCGTACAAGCTCTTCAGCAACTTGCATACCCGGCCGGTTCCATCATTGAAGTAGTCCGGCGTGGACACGTAGAGCACCCTGTCGAGCTTGCTCTACAGGATGGCGTTCTTCATGTCGAGCTGCATCGGGTTGAAGTTGAGGACGGCGACGATGCTGAGGAAGATCCTCAGCGTGACGTAGCTGCCCACCGGCGCGAACGTCTCGTCGTAGTTGGCGCCATACACCTGGGTAAAGCCCTTCACGACCAGCCTCGCCTTCTCGCGCTCGACGATGTCGTCGAGGTGGTACTTCATCGTCAACACCCACCAGTTCTTCATGATGTTTACCCTCGGCAGGCATTCAACCAGCTCCCAAGTGCCCATGTTGATGAGGCTGCGGATCTCCTGTCAGAATGTTATTATCTAGCCTGTAGTGGGGTGCTCTATAGCAAGTACAACCCTGTTAGGGTTTGCTATATGTATCCTAACTGCTACTAGTGAAACCCTCTCTCTTCTTCATTCCTCAATTTTCAAATCTCCTCCTCCATGGCGGCCTTCACCGCCAAGCCCTTCCAGCTCGCCAACGCCTCCTTCACCGTCATTGTCGAGATGTCCCAACGGTGTTCGGGGTCGGCATGCATGTTGGGGTCGAGCTCCAAAAACTCCTCATCCTCCTTGGCGTTGTCATATGCCAAGTCGTCGTCATCCACATCGTACACCGTGGTGAAGGCAGAGGGAATGAAGAAGTCGGGGGGCCTCCGAAGTCGGCCTGACTTTTGAGGTCCAGGCTGAACTTCCACCGCGTCGCTGTCGGTGGACTTCTCGGCGCCCCCTCCTTCGTCGCCGGCTTCGCTGCCCTCGTTGTCCTGCTGCACCTCGGTCGGCTTCCTGGCCGACTTCTCCCTTGTGGTAGGCTCTTCTCCCGACTGCCTAGTTGCCAACTGCTCCGTGGTCGGCATCACCGCTGCCTGCTCTCCTGTCGGCTACTGCACTTCTGGTGCTTTCTTCGCCAGCTTCATCCAAGTCGGTTGCTCCCTCCTCGGCCTGCTCTTCCCCAACGTCGACTTGTCGCTCATCACGTCGGCCACCGACGATGCCCTTGGCCAGCGCCGAAGGCGACGTCCCACTACTCCCCTTATCGCCGGAGGCCAACTTAGGAGTCAGCCCGTGCAGGTCGGCCACGAGGGGAGGGGCAAGGGTCGTAGGGGGAGGAGGACGGACGAGCTCGACGTCATCACTAGTAAGCTCACCGACCTCGGCGAGCAGAGGCAGCGTCGTCGTCGAGAAGTCGGACGGCGGTGTGGTCGGCGTCCGTCCTGACACCGGCCCGTGCTCCGACTTCCACACCTTCAGCGACATATCCTCGTAGAACACCACGTCCGACGTGGTGACCACCTGGTTGTCGGCAATATCGAGGAGCTCCCAGCCCTTGCTCTCCGCCGACACACCGAGGTGAAGGCCCCACTTAGCCTTCGGCGTCAGTTTTCCGCCACGCTGCTGCTCGGGGACCAAGACCTGTGCCATGCAGCCCCACACCCGTGCCAACGACAGGTCGGGCTTCTACTCAGTGAGCAGCTAGTACGGCGTTGTCTCCGTCGGCAGCGTCGACCTCTCAAGGCAGTTGCGGACCCAGACGGCCTGCCGCAGAGCAAGGTGCCACCAATGGTGCTGCACGCCCATGTGCAGCAGCATCGTCCGCACCGACTCCACCACCGTCCGCATCTCCCGCTCCGCCATGCCCTTCTGCTGCGGGGTGTTCGGGCTGTCAGATTTATATGACATAGCTACTGTAGGCTATAGTAGGGTAGTACATATGGGGTACAGCTTTCTAGGGTTTGCACTTGTACCCAACTTTCTCTTAGTCATTTTCATTCTCGTTCAGTTTCTCATGGTATCGAGCAGGTTCCCCTGTGGGAACTGTTCCTAGGGCCCACCACCTTTTTTTTTTTCCTGCCCGGAGCGCGCTCTACACTGCCCGAGTCGCGCTCCCCTCTCACGGCCCCGTCGAGCCGCCCTTTCGACCCTGTCGCGTCGTGCTAGCGACCCCGTCGCCTACCCCTGCGGCCCCGGAGCCGCCCTTCCCTGCCTCGGCGCCGCCTCTGCTGGCCCCGTCGCCTACCCCCGCGGCCCCGGAGCTGCCCTTCCCGGCCCCAGCGCCGCCTCTACTGGCCCCGACGCTGCTCCACCCGGCCCCGACGCCGCTCCACCCGGCCCCGACGCTGCTCCACCCGGCCCCGCCGCCGCTCCACTCGGCCCCGCCGCCGTCCCCACGCGGCCCCGCCGTCACCACCGAGCCGCCGGCGCCGCCGAGCTGCTGCCGAGCCGCCCGATCCACCCGAGCCGCCCGAGCCGCCGCGCCACCTGAGCCGCCCGAGCCGCCGAGCTGCAGTTGCTGCCGAGCCGCTGTACCGCCGAGCCGCCCGAGCCGCCCGAGCCGCCGAGTCGCCGAGCCGCAGTTGCTGCCGAGGCGCCGTACTGCCGAGCCGCCCGAGCCGCCCAAGCCGCCGAGTTGCCGAGCCGCCGAGCCGCCCGAGCCGCCCTGTCCGGTAAGAGCAGCGCCTCTGACACTGCACTGCCCTTACCCTACTGCTCGCGCTGCTGACTGTCTACTGCTGTCATGGCTACCCCTAGTGTCCTCGCTTTTGACGCTAAGGGTCGGGCCATTGACTTTGACGTCTGGGGAGATGACCTGCAGCTTTTCCTACAGTGCGATAGGGCAGACGGTCTCTCCCTCTTTGACCTCACCTCTGGTGCCTCTCCTGCCCCTGCTGCTGATGCTGACACCACTATTCGCTCACAGTGGGCCACAAGCGATGCTGCTGCACGTCTTGCTGTGCGTCGCCACCTGCCGGGTGGCATGTGGATCTTCAGGGTGAAGCGGCCGCCGGGTTCTCCGCCTGTCTTCAAGGCACGTTACGTGGCTCGTGGCTTCAGTCAGCGGCAGGGAGTTGACTACTTTCAGACCTTCTCTCCCACCCCGAAGATGACCACTCTTCGGGTACTGCTGCACATAGCTGCTCACCGCAACTACGAGCTGCACTCTCTTGAATTCAGCACTGCTTTCTTGTAGGGCAGCCTGCACGAGGAGATCTGGCTGCGCCGCCCACCTGGCTTCACTAGGTCTTTTCCTCCTGGCACCCAGTGGAGCCTCCGGCGGCCAGTCTACGGTCTCCGCCAGGCACCGCGTGAGTGGCACGACACACTGAGGACTACACTTGCGGCTCTTGGGTTTGCTCCCTCTACTGCTGACCTGTCGTTGTTTCTGCGCAACGACACTTCTTTGCCACCGTTCTACATCCTCGTGTACGTCGACGACTTGGTCTTTGCCACAGCTGACACTGCTGGACTCGCCCACGTGAAGTCCGAGCTGCAGAAGAGACACACGTGCACAGACCTGGGTGAACTGCGCAGCTACCTTGGCTTGCAGATCACCCGGGACAGAGCACGCCGCACCATTACCCTGACTCAGTCACACATGGTGCAGCAGGTCCTTCAGCGCTTCGGCTTCACGTACTCCTCGCCTCAGGCCACTCCTCTGCCTACTCGCCACTCGCTCTCAGCTCTGCCTTCGGATGAGTCCGTAGAGCCGAGTGGCCCGTACCCAGAGCTTGTTGGCTGCCTCATGTACCTGATGACCTGCACACGACCTGACCTTGCGTACCCTCTTAGCATCTTGGCACGCTATGTTGCTCCTCGGAGACACAGACCAGAGCACATGGCTGCAGCGAAGAGGGTGTTGCGCTACTTCTGCAGTACGTCGGGCATGGGGCTTGTGCTTGGAGGGCAGAGTCCAGTGGTCCTCACTGGGCACGCAGACGCTTCTTGGGCTGACGACCAGGCTACGCAGCGATCGTCACAGGGTTACACCTTCAGCCTTGGTTCCGGCTCTATTTCGTGGCGGGCTACCCGCTCGTCTTCTGTTCTCGGCTCAAGTTGTGAGGCTGAGATCTACGCCGGGGCCATGGCTGCACAGGAGCTTCGCTGGCTCACCTACCTGCTGACTGTCCTCGGAGAGCCGCCTCGTTCTCCTCCAGTGTTGTACGTAGACAACAAGGCCATGCTGGCCTTGTGTCGAGAGCAGAGACTGGAGCACAGAACGAAGCACATTGCTCTCCGCTACTTCCTTGCTTGTGAGCTACAGCAGCGTGGTCAGCTGCGCCTTGCGTACGTGGTCTCTGAGGCCAACACTGCTGATATCTTCACCAAGGCACTTGCGCCTTGTGATCATCAGCGCTTCTGTACTCAGCTGGGTCTTGTGCCTACCTTGCCTCACTTGCTCACCCCTTGACCTTTTTTGTACTGTTGCATATATATATACATCTGCTCTTACTTGTCTAGCCTTATATATATATGTAATCCTGCATGTGAACTGGCCTTGTGGCCTTGAACTTGTGCTCGGAATGTGTGGTGACTTTGTGATCCACCCTGAGCTTGCTTTGCTTTGCTTGACTGGTCTTGTGACCCCTTGTTCTCCCCCACTTGCCTATGGGGGTGTGTCAGATTTATATGACATAGCTACTGTAGGCTATAGTGGGGTAGTACATATGGGGTACAGCTTTCTAGGGTTTGCACTTGTACCCAACTTTCTCTTAGTCATTTTCATTCTCGTTCAGTTTCTCAGGGGCAGGTAAGGTC